AAGCTCCTCAATCTCTATGCTTCCTAGCTTTTGCTTAAGCTCCTCATCAACTTCTTTCGGAAGCGTGATGCGTGAGATATCTGACTGATGAAGTCCTCCATTCCTGTATACATTTCCATAATTTGCATTGTCTGATACTAACAAGAACACACACCTGGAAATCTGTTTTGCCCTAGGAGAAGCTGTTGATCTATTCTGAGAAACCGGTCGTATTGGGATGGGTTCCTAAATAAATGTCGTGCTGTGGAATTTCGTAAATTCTTAAAGAAATCTCGATATCTACTTGTTTCTCTTCTTCTTCTTCTTCTTCTTGTTCCGCTTCTTCTTGAATAAGTCCGGCCTGCTGGAATGCTCCTGCTGGTTTTCTCACTTCAGCTGTACTTTGAGGTCGACGCGGTGATAGTTTTTGCATCTAAAACAAAACCTTCGAGCAGATTTTGAATTTGTAAATTGGTGCATATGGATATTTTTTACAGGATTTTGAATGTGCCCTATTGCTGGTTTTTCTATCTTCTGGTTTCCATTCAAAGTCGAACAAATCTCGCCCCGTTAGATGGCTGACTTGAGATAAACCGTTAGCCTCGATAGCTTTCGAAAGGTCGCCTAATAACGGCGCTGAGAAGCTAGCAGGTCAAGGTCGGCTTGTATTAGCCGCGCTCCTAGAATTCCTCCGCGACTATCAATCAAATCTAGATAGAAAAGAGCGACGACCCAGTAAGAAGGGCAATCGCATACCTTACAAATGTCAGCAAAGTGTGAGGTTATACGTGAAATTCAAAACAGTCTATTCGAGAAGAAGTACGCTTACCATTACTGGTGCAGCTGTGGTGGTGGTGGTAGTAGTCTTTGCTCCGCAAACTAGGTCTTCACTCGTAGCGATGAAGACAGCTACTCCATCTTGCAACATGTGTACCTTTTCGGTGCATACCAAAGGATTTTCTAAAAAAAAAATAATGGGTAGAATTATTGGAGAATTGAACTTTGCATCGTACCTTGTAGGAACACTGTCCCTATTCGGCGATTAAATGCTGCATACGGTGTTCGGATAATCTTGTTGTTGCGCAGATCGATCATTTGCAGGTTAAGTTGTGCGATGAACGTGGATGGCGGTAAATCAAACAGTTGATTATCACTCAAGTCGATCATCACTATCGATGGTGCATTGTAGAACGCGTTTTGATGCACGGAGCTGATCTGAAACAGAACGTTCTTAAATGGGTCAACACGTGTTTCGTAACTATCGTGCCCCAATAACTCTCTCGTACCGAGGAGCATCGCCGTACGTGTAAAACCACTTGGTCAACCTTTTTAAATCAACTGCTGTAGAAAGAAAGGAAAAATTGGAGCGAGGAAAATTGTTGCACAGATACTCGGATGTTTTATAAAATGAAGTTGATGCAAAATATATTATTGACAGATCGCAATGATACAAGCTGATAAATAAAAGCACTCAAAAGCTTTTTTTTTGGATTTCGCTCTGGAATTCTAAAGCATATGTTGAATTCGCATTCTAGTGTTTGTGTTTTCATGATTTGCTTCTTCTCTTTAGAAGAAATTTGTGCTCATTGGACGTTACTACGGATAGTTATTTTCCGCATTTTTCAAAATCATTTTTGCCTTCAAGTCGAAAAATCTGTTGTTATGATAAAATACAAATTTTGATATACGTTCCAAAGAGTGAATGAAATGCATTTGAATGATTCTTTGAACACTTTCAATACGAATTTTTCTTTATTTTTGGTGCAAGATCTACGTATCAACCCAATGAAATCCTGCTGAGATTTCTTTGTCGTTTTTTCACAAGCTCATAGCTTATAAATATTGCTACTGATTTACTCCAAAGTTGTGAGGATGCATAACTCTCTGACAGGAGTTGTAATGCTTTATTTACTGGCTTTCTCATCAGCATCTGTAAATTGCCCCAGATATACGTGGTTATCTAAAAGTTACTACATCAAAGGAGAAATTGCTTGTCCCATGCCCCAGTTCTATAAACTTCCGTTTTTATTTGAAATCATTGATTTTTGCAACATTTCTCCTCTAGTGCACTTTAAATGCGACAATTATTGGTCGAGAAGTGAATTGTTCCGTTTCGCAGAGAAGGATTCAAAATCATCTCAAATGCTTGAGACCCGCAAGCTGACTAACAATAAGATTTATGTGAAAAACTTGAATTACGGCAAAAGTTCGGCATAAATGATCGTTGCTAAATTATAAGTACAATGTTATTCTAAAGCTGTTTGAGCCTGTCTAGCGATACAAAAATTATTGAATAGCAAGCACTAAGCATTTGATAAGATTTTAAGCTTACTTACCTTGTTGCCTTTAAAGACGACACTTTGTAAGTTGGTCATGCCATCTAGCATTCCTTCGGTGATCTCCTTCAGCTGATTATTGACTAGACTCAGTATCACAATAGAACTGTTGGCAAATGCATTCTTGCCAATAGTTTGAATACGGTTTCCTCCAAGGAACAGTTGCCTGAGTTGAGGTAGTTGGGCCATGCACTCGCTGGGTATGTCGGTAATCTCGTTTCCGGTCAGATCGATCATCTCTATCTGATCGAAAGAAGCGAACTGGTGAGCAGTAAGCTTTGAGATCTTGTTGTTCGTCAAATACAGATATTTTAGTTGTGGAACGTTCAAGAACGCTTGTCTGTTAACGTCTGAGATCTTGTTGCCGGCCAGGTTGAGCAGATTCAGCACGGGCAGATTCAAAAAATTGAGCGCCTCCAAAGCGGTTATGTTGTTCTTTTGCATGTGTAGAGCCTGCAGCTGCTTGAGTCCGCGAATCGCTGAAAAAGCGTGATTAGTCAGGGTTTCGTGCAAGTGCTCGTTCGGTGCTTTGCTATTGTCATGCGTTTCATGCAACGGTGGTTTCGACTGTGCGTTCCGGGTCGTGGATGTTTGTTCGCGCGCAAATCGGTAAAGTCTGAATCTGATATAACCTGCGCAAACTTACAAGAGGATGGGACGGAGTTGAGGCAGTTATGGCCGAGGTTAATTATTTGTATGGAGTCCTTTACATTCCGAAATGCTGACGAATGGATTGAGCAAATCTTGTTGGATCCAAGGTTGATGTCATAAAGCTGAAAAAAACTCGCTGGTCTTTCCGCTGGAGAATTGCTCTTCAATGCCTTGATGAGGGCTATAGCGCGATTATGACTGACCTTTGGTAAGGAGGGAATCGCGTCGCTATCTGCGATGTCTGCTATCGAGTTATTTGAAAGATCCACACGGAGAATTGTACCGAGCGTTGCAATCGCGGCTACGGGTATCTGAACAAATTAGTTGAGGTTTTATAGCTCAGTTTCAC